GGAGCTGCTGCCCAGCTTTGTCTCTGCAGCCTCGCACTTGCACGGGGCTGGGCCAGCTCAGGCTGGGAGCGCTGCGCCATGCCTCTGCAGGTGGGTGGCAGCTCTGGGAGGCCTGGTTTCATAGTTTCATAGTTGTAGGGTTGGAAGGGACCTGAGCGGATCATCAAGTCCGACCCCCTGCCAGGGGCAGAAAAGAGTGCTGGGGTCAAACAACCCCGGCTAGGTGATTGTCTAGCCTCCTTTTGAAGACCCCCAGGGTAGGAGCCAGCACCACTTCCCTTGGAAATTGGTTCCAGATCCTAGCCACCCTGACTGTGAAGTAGTGCCTCGTGAATATCTAGCCTGAATTAGGTTACGGGGGGGTTTAGGTGAATTGGGGGGGGCTATACCCCCCCAAAGCCCCTCCCCGCATGGTGTGGGTCTCCCAGCCTGGCCCCCCGTGCAGCGCTGAGTGCACTCTTGGCCAGCCTGGCCCCAGCCCTGCCCCCACCAGCCACACTGATCGAGAGGCTCCCGGCTCAGGGAGGAAAAAAATGAAAAATAAAAGAAACCAATCACAACAACTGTGCTAAACTGCCCCTGCTGTAGTCAAGTACTAGGAGGTCAAGAGGGTAAAATTGGTATGAGGCGCCCCCTAGCGTCCTTTACCAGTAACAGCAGATTAACCCATAATGAGACTTCAACGCGTTAAATAACGTACCGTTAAGTCAGGTGTCATGGTACATTACAACTGTGGAAGAAAACAGGAACATTTTTAGTGGGAAAAAGCCAATATCGTGGACAAACAATGAAAATGGTCAGGGGACTGGGGAGCGTGACTTGAGAGGAGAGGCTGAAGGAACTGGGCATATTTAGTCTGGAGAAGAGAAGGCTGAGGGGAGAATTAATAGCAGCCTTCAACTGCCTGAGGGGGTACAAAGGGGATGGACCTGGGCTGGTCTCAGCGGTGGCAGGTGACAGAACAAGGAGCAACGAGTCAAGTTGCAGCAAAGGAGGTTCAGGCTGCATAGGAGGAAAAACTTTCCCACCAGGAAGGTGGTGAAAGCACTGGACCAAGTTACCTGGAGAGGTGGTGCAATCTCCATCCTTGGAGGTTTTCAAGGCCCGACTCAACAGCCGTAGCTGGGATGACCTATTTGGGGATGATCCTGCTTTGAGCAGGGGGCTGGACTAGATGACCTGCTGAGGTCCCTTCCAACCCTCATTTTTTATCATTTTCTGATTCCCAAGTCGAGGGCCATGCCCCTGCTTCAGAGGAAAGCAACTAACCCCTCCCTGCTCTTCCCCCAGTCCACACCAGTCTGACCATGAGGTAAAATTCCTCCCTGACCCCAAAGATAGCAGCAAGGGTTTGACCCTGAGTTTTGGGGCAAGACCCTGTGGCCCATCGGCCAGGCTCTGGCCGCAGCAGGAGCATTGGCGCCCCGCAGTCACAGCCCCGGCCGAGGCTTAAACCTTGCAGGGGAAATACTATCTGTGTTCATGAAAGCCGTTTTCATAGACTTCATAGACATTAGGGCTGGAAGGGACCGCGGAAGATCATCGAGTCCAGCCCCCTGCGCCAGGGGCAGGAAGTCAGCTGGAGTCATAGGATCCCAGCAAGATAAGCATCCAAATTTCTCTTGAAGGTGTTCAATGTAGGTGCTTGAACCACCTCCGATGGCAGGCTATTCCAGACCTTGGGGACTCGGACAGTAAAGAAATTCTTCCTTATGTACAGCCTGAATCTGTCTTGCAGTAGTTTTAACTGTTCAACCTCGTCATCCCTTGGGGCGCTCTGGTGAACAAATGTTCCCCCAGATACTGGTGGTCACCCCTGATAGACTTGTAGGTGGCCATCAGATCACCCCTGAGCCTGTGCTTTTCCAGGCTAAAGAGCCTCATAGCTCTGAGCCTGTCATCATAAGGTCTGCTTCCCTGACCTCTGATCATGCGCGTGGCTCTTCTCTGGACTCTCTCAAGCTTCTCCACATTCTTTTTGAATTGTGGAGTCCAAAACTGGACACAGTACTCCAGCTGTAGCCTCACCAAGGCTGAGTACAATGGGAGAATGACATCCTGGGATTTGCTTGAGAAGCATCTATGGATGCAAGCCAGCATTTTGCTTGCTTTACTAGCATTTTTCAGTGTTAAACACCATCAGGTTCTCATCCGCCCATTTGCTGAGCCTGTCCATGTCAGCTGGATCACCCTCCTGTCCTCAGGTGTGGATGCTTTGCCCAAAGTTTGGTGTCATCGGCGAACTTGGCCAGTTCTCTTCTGACTCCAATGTTCACATCATTAATGAAGATGTTGAACAATATGGGTCCAAGGTCAGAGCCTTGGGGGACCCCACTGGTCACAGGGCCCCATAACGATTGACTTCCATCAACCACCACCCTCTGGGTCCGACCACGGAGCCCCAAGGCCACAATTGGCCAGTTTTGCCAAGAGGTGATCATGGGATACCAGATCGAAGGCTTTTTTGAAGTCAAGATATATGACATCAGTCTCTTCTCCCTTGTTCAGGTGATAAGTCACCTGGTCATAAAAGGAAATGAGATTGGTCAAGCAAGACCTACCCGCTACAAACCCGTGCTGGCTATCCCTCAGGATGTTGGTGTTGGCCAGTCCATTAAGGATGGCCTCTTTAATAAACTTTTCTAATATCTTCCCTGGGATAGAAGTCCAGCTGATGGGCCTGTAGTTTGCTGGATCCACTTTCCTCCCTTTCTTGAAGATAGGCACCACACTGGCCTTCTTTCAGTCTTCGGGCACTTCACCAGAGCACTGGGAGTTCTCTAAGATCTGTGCCAGAGGCTGGGCTATGATTTTCCTGAACTGCAGCGCAGGAGAACTGCTCGTCAGGCATGGTTAGGGCACACCGAGGTGCAGCGGCTCTATGCCCCGTTTATGGGAACGAGAGTCTCCTCCCTTGCTTGCGCCAAGGGCCTTATGGCTGAGGGCAGGACAAACTGGGGGGGGCTTCCGAACCCCAGGCCTCCGGGCTTGGGCCTGCACATAGGATGCCCGCCAAAGGATTTGGTAATGACTGAAGCCCCAGGTGCGGGTGGAGGATGTTTGCGGGTAGTAGGGCCACTCATGAACGCCGCGTGCCCCCGGAGGCTGGGGGTGCACAGCGAGCTCCCGCAGACCGCAGTGGTGCTGGCAAGTGGGGAGCTCCCACAGGCGGCTGCGGTGGGGGGCAAGTGCTGACCAGTGGTTGGTGACCACCCGCAGACGCTGCCAGCAGAGTTGGCCAGCAGCAATCCTGGACCGCCCGCAGGTGCCACCGGTAGTTAGTGGCCCCTTTTCGCAAGGGTGCACTGCCGCGCTCAGGGGGTGCGCACGCACCTGCTACGCGTCGCCGGCGGCCACTTATGGTTCTGGACTCTTGGATTTGGAAATAGCTTTGGCCTATTTGGGCTCGGATACAAATTTAATAAGATTTTTAAAAAATGAGCCCCCGACACCAGAGCGGAGCGGAGCGGGGAGCA